TAGTAGCAGTTAGTAGCAGTTAGTAGTAGCTAGTAGTAGCTAGTAGTAGTTGGTAGTAGTTGGTAGTTGGTAGTTGTAGTCGTAGTCGTAGTAGTAGTAGTAGTAGTAGTAGTAGGAGTAGCAGTGGCAGTAGGAGTCGTCGTCGTCGTCGTAGTAGCCGTAGTAGTAGTAGTAGTAGTAGTAGGAGTAGGAGTAGGAGTAGGGGTAGGAGTAGGAGGAGGAGGAGGAGGAGGAGCAGCAGCAGCAGCAGCAGCAGCAGCAGCAGTACCACCCCGTACCCAACCATGAAGGAGACACTGGAAGTCACACTAACCCTGTACAACAGGCCCACTAATTACGCCTTACGCCCTCTCAATATCAGCACAGGCGCTGCGTGGCGTCTCGGTGACAGCTCGGTTTCGCGGTGAAGCCTGGCTGGGTGCTCCACTCCGATCCTTGCTTGCGCGCCTCTCCCCCTGGGTGTCGGGCCGGACCCGCGAGGGAACTCTGAGACTGCATCGACTGCAGGCTGCGCATGGATCGCGTAGACTGAGGCTCCTGGCAACGTGGAGCTGGACTCTAACCTTCCGTTGTGTCTGTGCCTTTTCGTGGGCATGCTGATACGACGGTTCAAGTTTCTCTTTATCACCTCTCAACCTTTCTAGCACCATTCTCTCGCTCGGGAGCACATTCCTCCGAGCCTAAGCTTCACGGACTCATGCTACGTACAAAACGAGGCAAGCCCCAGAAACCATTCGTCTAGAGTGCAAATTTGCATGGCCTTCTTTTAGCAGCTTTCCCTTGCTGATACATATTACGGCACGATGGGCCTCGCTTGAAGCGAACTACGAAAGCACCCAGAGCACCCAGAAAGGGCTTCCATGGCAAGGACCCGGGTTCCGCCTTGGTCTCCTCCTGGCTGCCTCGTGGCTGCACTCTGGCAGAAAAAACCCTAATAATAGAATAGAATATAATATAGTATAATATAATATAGTATAATATATAATTATACTATAATATAACTGCAACGAACGCGTGAGACCGAACGAGGCCCGAGCTGAAGTCCAAACGCCTGGCGATGCCTGTTTGCGAAAACGGCTTCTGCGATGCAAACAGGGAAAGACAGTTTCCGACGCTCACACTCGGACAATCCAGCGAGGCATGTGGTCTTGGGTCGGCTGAGGTGAAACTAGGTTTTTCCCCTCCTAGTTTCACTAGATTAGGGTTTAGGCTCTCACAACTCGGACAGGGTTTCGACTCACACACTCGTAAAGCAGGCATGGCGGTAACGTCTCGAGACAGGGTTTACGCTCTCACAACTCGGACATGCCAGGCGAGGTCCATGGTTCGAAGTCGGCGTGAAACGAGAAGCAAGAACCCCTTGTAGGAAAAGACCAACTCCAACACCGAATGCTAAGGGTCTCGAGACAGGGTTTAGGGTCTTGGGGTTTAAGCCTTGATAAGATGCAACTTCGGCGGTTGAGCTTAGAGGCTTGCACGGAGATCCTAGCAATATTCGTAGCCTGCAGCACTCTGAGCGGGTCATGGCCTGAAGGACCCGTTGGTGAGCGCAGCCGCATGGACCCGGCTTCCTAAAAAACAGATCGACTCGAGTCCTGTTCGATGTAAGTTTCCGCATGTGTATAGGCACACGCAAGTGATGAAGTTGAAGTTACAACATCCGAAGCACCCATGACAAAGCCCCTGCCGCTTAAATGCCAGCGCTCTGATGCCAAGGAGACCGTGGAGCCGCGCTGGCTGCGTGCCGAGCGTGGAGTCCTTTTTTGCCGGCATCGAGCTAGACACTCGCAGCCGGATGAAGCCCATGTTCTGCGAGTTCGTGCCTGACTCCCTGCCTTTTCAATCCGCAACACTCTGCCCGACTCGCTCTCGCACTCATTCCATTCTCGCAGCTGCGACAATCTGCCGAAGCAACATGAAAGCCACATAGAGTCATGAAGTGCAAAGCCCCAGCGGCATCGTCATTGTGGACGCCTTCCGCACTGGCTCTGGAGGCTCCGCTACCTGGGGGCCTCCTTGGCGATGAGTGCCTCTCGCTGGCCCCGTGTTTGCGCAAACAATCAGGAACTTGGCACTGCTGCGCGAGACTTGACGGCACCAAGGCACCAAACAACGAAACCAGGCTAAACCGACATGCATTGCAGGGCACTGCGGCCTGACATTGATAAAGATGAACCAGACTGCAACACGCTGCTGTGATCACTGTCATCTACCATTTAGTCGCAACTGAGCAGTTCATCTTCTAAACCCGGTTCACAGCTGGCGCCAACCTGTGTAGGTGCGTTGGTCATAGAAGAACCGCTCGGGGCCATAACCTGTCAATGCTCTCAGAGCAGTCACTCATCAACATGTTTTGAGCCCTCGGGATGCGGCAGCTGCCTGCGCCAATGGTCGGACGATATTAGTATACACATGACATATATATATATATACACACACACATACACATACACTCAAATACGCAGAGTATACACGCACACAGAGTTCGTGCTATGCCGCTGCCATGCTCGCGCTTCGATGGTGTGCACCCAACCTCTATGCTGGCGAGGGGCGGGTGTTGTCCTCCGCAATTTCTCCTGCGATGGTTCCTCGGGCAGCGTCTGGTCTTCTCGACTACGGTGACGATCGAGCTTCGAACAGAACAAAGTGAATCACTAAGCAACATGTTTCACATCATGCCTTCGTCCTGAACGTGGGTGAATTCGAGGACTCAGCTGGGCCCGGCACTTCTTCGAGGTGAGTCGCCCACCGGGGAGACCAGTTTGAAGCCTTGGACAGCGCTTCGTGAAGCGCTTACTTGGCTTCTTTGACTACCACTTGGATCGAGTGCAAGGTGAACCCACTAATGTTCTCGCTTTCGAGTTTGACCAGGCTTGCGCACAGCCACCCCATACAAACCCGGGCCGGAATCTTCTCGGTAGGAAACCGACGACAAAGGCCCGTCGAGTTCCGGAAGAAATGCCGGAACCAACCTTTTCGAGGGGCTGTTGTAAACACCACTGGCCCGAGGCGTCATCGATGTAGAAGCTGCCCGGGCCCGAGGGGAAAGAGAAGCCACAGAGGCCGAGCGACCTCGTCGCTGAATGTCATCAATAACAGCAGATACGAAAGGTCACGGCAAGAGGGCTTTTTTTGGAGTGCTGGCGGTCCCCCGTGTCACGCTTTTTTGGTTGCAAACACCCTGAATTGCAGCATGTGCTCCTGTTTTGCATTACGCTAGTGGGGAGATACAATTGCAGGGTCCTGCTATTGCAATTAAGCACCTGTCTTGTGTCGAGATACTGGCGAATTACAATTGGCAGGGTCTTGCTAGGCATGAAGCTTTTAGGGAATTACAGTTTGCAGGGTCCTGTTTTGCCCCAAGCTATTGGGGGATTACAATTTTGAGGCTCTTGTCTTGTTGGGGAATGTCACTTTGCAGGCTATTGGCAAGCAATGCTTTGCATCAAGCTATTTGGGAATCACGCTTTGCAAGGTCTTGTTTTACCCCTAAGCGCTTGGGGGGATAACAGTTTCGAGGCTATTTGGGAATTACAATTTGCAAGGCTCTGGTTTGCAGCAAGCTATTGGAAGATTACAACTTTCAGGGGCGATTCCGGTTCGTCATATATCTTAAACATGCCAACTCATTGATCGTCCGGCTTATCATCTTAAGAACGCCCCATCCTGTGGCGATTCTGGTTCATCATATCTCTTCAACACGCCCCTCATTGTGGCCATTCCGGTTCATCATATATCTTAAACACGCCCGCCCCCCTCCCCAGAGTGATTCCGGTTCATCATATTCCTTCAACAAGCCCTGTCATGTGGTGATCCAGGTTCATCATACATTTTAAACACGCCCCTTCATGTGGTGATTCCGGTTCATCGTACATATATCTTCAACACGCCATTTTATCCTAAACACGCTCCTCATGTGGCGATTCCAGTTCATTTCATATCTTAAGCACCCCCCCCTCCCCCCATTGGGCGAGACCAGCTTTCCAGTTTTTCATAATTTTTTCATGTCACTCATTTGGCGATCCAGGCTCGTCACAAATCTTAATCTCGCCCCTCACTTGGCGATTCAGGTTCATCACATATCTTAAACACGCCCGCTCATTTGCCAATTCTGATGCTGCACTTCTGCTAAACTGCTAAACCCGGCCCCCCAATTTTCATGGACCCGTGACCGAGGCACGGCTTAAAAAAGAGCGGGTCGGTTGGGTGGGGGAGGGGGGGCCTACCCGCATTTTGCAACCACAATGTCTGTTGCAGGGGTTTCGAGAGGATGTATATCCGTGTTGTTTTTGCTGGCAGGATGTTGATTTTTGAAGCGAACTTGCGCGGCTCAAACAAGCTGGGCGGGGGGCTGGCAAAGCAGCGCAAGGCACGGACAGGGAGCTTATTATTTATTTATTATTTATTTTTATGTGTTATTATTATTATTAGTATAATTGTTATTTGTGAAGCATTGGCATTGTGGATGGTGTCTTGATGCATGCCTGGGGAAGCGTTCTAATGACTAATGTGTCAATCAGCAAGGTTCGTGCGCAAACGGGAGAGGGCAAACATTACCTTGAATTCCGCGGACACGTACGTGTACTTAACAAACACTCTAGATAGACCGTGTTGTTGTTGTTGCTGTTTTGGTTGAGCATATATCTTAAACACGCCAAATCATTTGTCGATTCCAGTTCACCATGTATCTTAAACACGCTCCTTCACTTGGCGATTCCGGTGCATCATACTTCGTAAACCCGCTCCCTCACTTGGCGATTTCTAGTCATCATAAAACATCTTAAACACGCCCCTTCATGTGGCGATTCCGTTTCACCATATATCCGAATACACGTCCCCTCACTTGGCGACCCAGGCTCATCACATATCTTAAACACGCCCCCTCATTTGGCCATTCCGGTTCATCGTATATCTCATTTTCTAAACCCGCCTCCAACTTTTCACGGGCCGCAGCGGCTAAAAAAGAGACCGGCGGGCATTGGGACCCGCACGACCAGGCGACCAGGGGACCGGGCGGCCTGGGCCAACCCTACCAAGGACCCCATACCAGAGCCAACCTTAGGAAAAAAACACCCGGCATACGAGAGAACATAAACAACATAAAGCGGCGACACCAGCAGCAGCAGCAGTGAGGGTAAAGCAGTAGTCGTCGTCGTAGTAGTCGCTTCCCGTCGCAGTCGAAGATTCAGTCACGGTTGTAGTCGCAGTAGCAGTGCTAAGGCTAAGGTGTGCTAAGTTGTCGCGTTGTTTGAGATGCAGTGCTGTACCGATTGTTCATGTTTGTACGTGATGTTTTGATGCTTCTGGAAAGTGTCCAAACCTATGTGGACAACTGCTTCCTTCGAGTCTGCTTGATTGTCGAACGAGTGCTCGAAAGTCAGAAAGACGTGCTTTCGCCCCAAAACAGTCACTGGGGAATGTGACTTTAGAGTTTGGCACTGGCACAGTGGAAGAGACGAGTCGCTTCGAGCACTCCGAGGGGAGTGATCCCGCAAGATCTGCGTAACCACCTCCTCGCAACCGATTCGGAGACACTCATGCATTTAGAGAAACGCTGGGCATTGCTCGTGAGTGTGCCAATGCTCCTGGCCAGCAGCAAAGGTTCGGTACTGTGTCAACCGACTCGGTCAATCATGCCTGAAAATCGCAACTCCCGGCAACGATGCAGCGATCCTTGCATGCTGCGAAACCTTAAGGCTCCTCCATGCACTAGGCACCTGCAGGACTCCCACAACAAAAACTCGCCATGGATCCAGTTGGAGTCCAACCCTGTTGGCAGACGTGATCACAAAGCAGCATGTCCTTTTCCACAGTGGTCGGCGATCCGTTCTTGTGAACGCCCGTGTAAGTTTTCTGGTCGTAGAAGAAGCGCTCGGGGCCATACCTTGATCCAGGAACTGCTATCACTCATCACGAAACCCTGTGTTTCGGTCCTCACTTCCCATGCCTGGACCCTGCAGCCAGCACCTCCAAGCCTCCTGAACTCCCTCCCGTCCCAACGCACGCGGGGCGCCGCCGTTGCTCCTTGGGAGTGTCGATGGCGGTTTCAATCTGCAAAGACGCGAGGCCTGGCCAAGACAAGTTTCACTGTGCTCCTGACGGGCCTCACCCTGCATTCCCTCGCAGGTGGATTAATTATAAACGCTGCCAGAGTTAAACTCAGCTTTCAACCAAGGCACATGCTGCACTGCACCCCGAATCACCCAGGTCGACTGGAACAATCATTTAGTGCGGAAGCTGCACCCCAACAATCAGCCCCTTTGCGCCCTCACGTGCACCCGCGAAGCGTTCCCAACGGACAAGTGCTTAGACACGATGGAACCAGCCAATCTGATGCAAACACAAGGAAACTAGGCTGCTGGCGCTGGCTCAACCTGCTTGCAGAGCTGGCCCTCCTGCAAAATCTGATATGGCTCGGTGCGCTTGAGGACTTGAGTTCTAGATGTTCTGTTTTCAACAATCAGCCTCTTGTACACTCTTCAACACTGTCGGCCCGGTTGACTGCAACGGCGTACAAAGAGTTGTTCAACATGGGGACAGGACAGGTCGGCTTTTCAGAATTCACCTCTTCTTCCTGGCTGCATAAATTCGTAAGCACAATCCTCGTTCTGTTACTTACTCACCATCTCCCTCTAGAGTCCGACGAATTCCAAGTTTCCAAAGGTGCTTATGTACTCGCGGCCTCCCGGAGGTGGGAGGCGCATCGGAGGCCTGGCAGCATTGCGAAAGAGAGGCGCAGCCACTTTTGATTGTCATATATTGTCATCTGCAATAGAAAGCACACCAACTTCTCCGCCGTAGGGCGAAGGGTTTGGCGCGAAGCCCTCTGCCCCATAGTCTCATTTAATTATTAATTCGTCTTTCCAGATCCAAAGCTCCGGATACACCCAGTTTGAACCTAATACAGTGCCAAGAGACTGGTGGCGATGCAGTCAATGAGCCGGCTTCGACGGCTCCGGGTAGTGACTCCACCGGTGCACCCTCGGTTTTTGCACGCTCGGCTAGTTTGTATGGCTGCATGAGAGTTTGAGGTTCAGGATGGGTCAGCGGCGGCCCTGGAGGGCCAGCCAAGGAGGCTGTTGTGACATACATGCCATGTATGTACGTGCATGTGTTTATGTATGTCGTAATGCCGTGACCAACTGCAACATGCTGAGAGGCTTGACTGCATTTATGTGCACGTCACCACCGATTGTCTACCAGTGCAGTTGCCACTACAACAACTACGGCTGTACAGCCGCGACAGAAACGATAACGAGGACGACATCGACGACTAACAACTGCCACCACTACCTCTATCGCCGGCACTAAAAGCACCAATGACGACGACGGTGACGACGAAGACTGGCGATTATGACGGCACTTGTCATCAGTATTGCTTTCTGCTTGTGGCCATTCCGGGCGTTGCTGCTATGATGATGGTGCTTGCGTTTGTTGCCGCCCCTTTCTGTATTCTGCGCGTACAGCTACATGACAAACCATAAACGAACACTTGACAACACACACACACACAAACAACATAGCTAACTCGACCTTGTATAGATTTTCATTCATTTGCAGATTATAGCTATACATAATAAGCATGGAGTCTCTCTCAATGTCGCTTCTAGGGGCAATGCAAAGGCCAAAAGACAATGCAGTGCATCTGCCCACCCACCTGTCTAGCTAACTGCATCATGACTTGTAACTCAACATGTGATGTACACCTTCTGCCGAGTCTCTGAGTCTGCCTTCTGTGCAGGCCGCCCCCATGCTTTAAGCACACCTGAAGCATCCAAGCCCAACAACCCCAAACGGCACGTGTTGCCACCTCACAGAGCTGGCGCAGCACCCCGTACATTCTTCCTACACCTCAGCTTGCGCTGGCAAATCCTTACGCAGCATTCGCCAAGAGCTTGAATTCCTACAGTAAACCCATCGCCATCGGCTTTTCGTTCCGATTGTTGATGGGCTTACCTTGACTCCACCCCTCTTCTCTGTGTCGCACGCGCTGTGGAACTTGCGCCCTGTCTCTATGTGTATATGTCTGTCTGTGTCTTTGTTTGCTTGAACCCTGCAGGCCTCTGGCCAGTGGGACGTTGCACACGCCAGAATCAAACTCCGACTCGTAGAAGAGCTTTTGCACATCGCGGAGTTGCTCACCTCTCCGTAGTGCAGGGAGATCTGCCATCACCACCAAACTATATTTAAGGCGTGAAAGTCCACTGTTCATCGTGAAGTGGTGTCCGCCAAAGCTTGGACCCTGGCAAAGGCGCTCAGCGTCCCAAAGGCCGTCCTGGCCTGTTCCAGTCTTGCTCTGTGAACTTTAGGGACCCAAGTGAGCCCCACAGAGGACTTCAGGGTGGAAGCGGGCCACACCTCGAAATGCGAACAAGGTAGGCTTGTGGAGATGTGAGCTCTGAAACTTCCATGTACAATGTGCAGTGTACCGAAAAGTACGATGCCCCACCACAGCATTCGCACATGCCGTGAAGCACGCCCAACCTCGCGACATTGCGATTTGCCACGCTGCACCGAAACGCCGACAGAGCTTCCAACTCACTACTCGGGAGCGCTGCAGACTGTAACCCAACAGCACAAAGGGCCAAACGAGTTTCAGGGCCCTGGTCTCTGAAAATTCTGTTCATTTCTGTTCTCACAGAAGACCTGCTGTAACAGAAGAACAGGAGACCCTAAACACCTTCTGACGAAACACCTGGCTTATACACATCCACATAAAAAGTGGTGTGTGTCTGTTGTGTGTGCGTTTGTGTGTGCGTGTATCTATATATATATATATGTATATTTATATCTACAGATAGATATAATATACACAGACCTACCTACTGTTGCCTGCCTATCGATCGATTGATCGACCCAGCTAGGTAGCCCCACCCGGCCCATATCTATCCATCCATATCTATCCGTCCATCTACCTGCATATGTAACTATCTATGTATGTGTGTGTATGTGCGTGTATGCATTTACGCACATGCACATGCACACATGCATGCATACATGCAATCATTAGTGACGACGTCCCACCGTCCCACAGAAGATTCGAGATCCCGAGCACGCCTCCAGGCATGGAGGGCTTGCCAATGTGTCTCCGCTCTACGGAAGAGCACTGAGCAAGTGTTCAGGATGTTATTGGCAAAGCAATGCTTTCGTCTGCCACGCTAGATGCCTGGCTTTCGATCACTGATTCGGGAAGATGTGTTGGCTGGCCAATCCTTTCTACATAATTAGGCAGGAAAGAATGGACAATTGGAGGGACAGAATTTCTGGCTCGATGCTGCTGGCAGTTTACTGTAAAGTCCGCACGTGGGCCACATGCCGCACAAGAGCCGAAGCAGCAGTGCGGGGGCCAATCTCGAATTATCTGAGGCACGGTGGTGAGAGTCTTGCAGCACAAGTACGCTCCAAGAACTGGCTTCCTGGCTCCAGCAATTCAGGCTTCAGAGTTGGAGTATGCCTGTTTGCCAGCATGCAAAGGCTCAGGAGCCTTGCTGCAAGATCAGAGCGAAGATTGGCAACACGCTGCGCCTGGGACTGGGATATCGGGTGCCGGAGATTCTGGTTGTGTGCAGCACGGGGGCTGGGTTGAATCGCAGAAGAACGGCTAGGCCCTACAGGCATAGGCTGGGGTCACAACACGTGGGAAGGTGTGTGGCAGTCCTCTGACATCATCGAGGGCGTCAATCCGAAAGAAGCTTGCATGCCCTCGAACCGACTGCCTCTGCTTCCACTTGCTGCTTCAGCTGCCGAAGTTTGACGGCCTGTCACAAAAAGCAGGTCCGATGCAGCATGATGTTTGGCTGCAAAATCTTGAGGGGAACGGGCTCCACACGAGTTTCCACAGCTCAGGATTCATAGACAAGAATTCCCGAAGCTCGGCGCCAAGGCAAGGGACCTTTTTTTTGCGCTTGCTAAAAATCCAAGCACCCAAGGTGCCAACTGCGAGCCGTAACTTCACGCTGCTGCGAGCCACCTGCGAGCCGCCAAGGGAAAGAATGGGCCCGGCTAGGACACCTTGTGCCTCGTTTCAGTGTCAAGGCTATAAGGGCCTTACGCGTGGTAACTTGTGGTGACTTCACAGGCTGCGAAGGCAGACCGACAAAGCTCCAAGAACTTCGACAGCATTGCCTCCGGTCAGGAGATTGGTTCTCTTCATAATTGCTGTATAGCGTATTGGGTGACGACCCTTACGAGACTACAGCCGGGATGGCTTATCTCAGCGTGGTGTGGGTGTGCTACATGCGTGGGCTTCTGCGGTGTCGTGTATAATCCAGGCCTCAGTTGAAGAAGTAGCTGGAAAAGAGCACGGACAGGATGCAGATCAAGAGGAGCCCCCAGTACAAGGAGGTACGGTTCAGTTCCACCTGAGCACTTATGGCTGAACTGCCCAGTGGCCGCAGAGTCAGCAAGACTGGCGACAGAACACCTAAAAGAGACGCCACTATCCCGGGCTTAACCTGAACATGCCCGAACTCCTACTGCGCTGGGCTGAGAGGATTGTCCCTGCCCTTTGCTTCTTCCCTCTATCGACAGCCCTACGATGGAGATGGGGAAGCGGTCTTTGAGTGGGCGTGCAGCTGATGGCTATGTCCGCCGAAAGTCAGCATGCGAATGTGTTAATCGCCAGCATCCGTCAGATCCTTTCTCTGCATGTGTCTCTGTTTATTTGTTCATGATAAAGAACTATGATATAATGGAGCATTTTTTCACAGTCACACTCGGGCAAAGCCAGGCAAGGTCTGCAAACAATATTGGAACAACTGCATTGTACCATGTTGCACCGTGTGAGGCAACATAATGCAAGCGCATAAGAGATCAACATCGGTTGTCTTCCAAACCAGTATAGCATGAAATAACAGACTACCGCAGAATTAACGAAGCAAGCTGCAACAGTATTACCACACCCAACCAGAACCCACCTTAGCACAACCTAGCATGACGTAACCTAACGCAACATAATGCTTTGTGTGGTGTCCCTACGTTAGATGTATGTCGCGTTGTGATATGCTACGTTCTTGTGTGCGATGCTACATTAAAGTGCATAATCTGACCCGGTGGCGATGTGCAAATATTGGACACTGAAGCAGACCGCAGAGCGAGTGTCCCGAACGTGCTTTAGACCAGCGAGGCAACACCGAGCATCATCTCATCTATCCTTTCATCTGTTCATCCATCCAGGGATTCGGAAACATGACCAAGCTCGAATCCTCGTATTGTAGCACCACACAATGCCCCCCCCCAAGGCAACAGCAGCATTCAAAAGATGCGTTCCAGAGGTATCCCAGTATGCCGATGACTTTTGTGCCAATCCCTCCCCCGACCCTTGGGGCCATCATCTGTCATCTTCCAAGGTGCAGGGAGCATGGCGTCGTTGGGGCGCGGCTCTGGCAAGGCCTGTGCAGCAGTTCCGTCACAGTGCGTTTCCTGGCCCAAGGTTGCGCTGGAGCCCCTGCCTCGACAAGGACCATAGGAGCCCGCGTCTCGATCTCAATGCCGGCCAAGGATCCTTCTCAGGGATTGCATGGTGTTGGGTTGACTCCTCCCTGTTGACGTTTGTAAACAATATGTCGCATTTCGCACATCACCAAACGTAGCGCTCCTAGCCGAGCACAGTGTGTCAAAGCAATGCTGCTACAGCTACTGGGCTTGGTGGCATGACAAATTTCAGATTTCCCACATGTCACATGTGACATTGTTGTGTCTTCATTGTAGAATGCTACGCAGGTAAACCATTCACAACATGGGCCAAGGATGCGGCATGGCCACCCCAAACAACGAAGTTGCTAGAACCTTAGCAGCTCCTTCGGTGGCTGTACCACGCAGGGCAGGCGCCGGCGAGGACGGAGCCATGAAGGCAGCCGGGAGCATCCACACAGCGGCCACCAGTGCCAGGGTGCCTTGGCCGGGCTTCGAAGTGGATGCTTCGCTGCAAGCAGGCATCGGCGTGGTCAATATGCGCAGAATTATCATTTTGGACCTGTCTGTCTACCTGTCTATCCGCCAAAAACTACATATTTGCATATTGTATGTACATATATATATATATAGGAAAATACATATATGTACACTATCTCCACATCTGCATGTATGTTATTTAAAATGCATGTATGACTGTGTAGGTATGCATTTATGTATGTATGGAAACGTATGTATGTATATATGTATGTAGAGACGCACCCACACAAATTCACACTACATCCATACAGACAGGCTGCCATACACACGTAAATATTTACATACATGCATGCACACATGCATGCTTACATACATACATGCATACGGACAGAGACAGACGCAGACGGCACAGACGGGCAGAAACAGGCACAGTCATGCACGGACAGACAGGCAGACAGGCAGACAGACAGACAGACAGAGACACAGACACAGACAGACAGACAGACAGAGAGACAACCAGACACGGACATAAGACACTACAGAAGTAAGGACATGCAGATCTGCATATCCGACTGCTATGCGGCCTAGGCGTACAAGAGACCAAACAGTCGCAGACTTACATACTAACCCGAGAACCTCCCCAAAACCACCCAATGAGTGCGTACTTCACAGGGTCGGGAGCACGACCCCAGAACACGTACAACACTGTGGCAATAACACCAGCTGTTTGAAAGCCGAAATGAAAGCAGGATTGTGGATCCCCACACTGTGGCAGCGTGGCGTAGGCATTTCGCAAGCACCACTGTATTGGACTTTACAATGAGACGAAAATAACACGATTCTAGTCGAACATGTAATCCGCGCCGCAGCAGGGAGCACAGAATCGCCGTGTGTTGTGATTTCTGGACAATTTTTCTACTTCCTATGGATCTAGAGTACGATGTTCAGTTCTTACCCATTGGTAGCAGAAGGCATCTTGCTTTCGGTTTGTCTGCAAGCATCTGAGCATCTGCTTTTCCTGACGCCCAGCTGAAGACACAAGATTTTTGGGCTTCTGAACAGCCTGCAGCAAGAATGTGTCCCTTGCATGTCTCTCATGTCTCTCTTTATCGTCTTCCGTCTTGGTTTGAAGTTTAAAGGTACTCCGCGTCGTGGCCTCTGCGCCGCCGTCCGCGACTCGTATGCATGCATGGCCACTGGGTATGCATCCATCCCAAAAGTATCCGTTTGGGACTCTCATGAGTGCTTGGCCGTGCGTTTCAAACTCGCATCCGTTCCTTGCCACTGGATCCACAGGTCACATGTAATTTCTATCCATGCCACATCCGTTTGAGACCAAAATCCACTCCCTGGTCACTAGTAACGTACATCCCCGATGGCGTCCGCTTGAACTTTATTGTCTCCACCGGAGAAAGCACCGGAGAAGAGCCGCTGGACTGCTGCTGGGTTGGACATCTTCAAACAAAAGTGAAGTTGACAACCGCGACAAATTTCAAACGTCTTAACCTACGGTCCAGGAATCTTCACGCTCTGACAGTTGATGGAGGGTGGTTTCAACACAGTATGTAAGAGTTGCCTGTGGAATTCAATTGCCGCATGCATCTGTCGGCCTGCCTGCACATGGCATGCAGAAAACATAGCATAGAAGCCAGAAAGATGGAACATCATTATCCTGGTACCCTTAAGGAAAAATATAAGGGATCCTAACACTGATCATCCTAAATCCATGTTCCAACTGTTGGGGTTCGCTGTATGTGCGAGATTCGTTCATGACCTTTCCGGTTCTAGTGCAGTTTTGATGATTGCCAGCATGATGGCAGGGACTATCAAAATCCGGGAGCTCAACATGCTGGACCCGTGTCAGTATCAGGATGCAGCGGTAGAGACCAGTGGGACCAAGTTACTTGGATTTGGATCGCAGATGTTTTGGATCTCTAGGGAGGTATTGTCAAGTTTACCATGGAGACCCGAAAGATTTTTCGCGGCCTGCGTCGCCGGCGATGCGCAAGTGTTGTTCTCGGGGTTGCAAGGAATTTAAGCATCCACATCTCTTCACTGTACGCGCTGCCTGCGGTCTCGAATGTCTCGAATCTGGACGCAAACAACACCGCCCGACACCCGCGGTGATTGAACCCCCCCCCCCCAGCACTTTCTCTGTGCCCCAGCTACTAAAGCCCAGCCAGTACCATCTCGCTGCAGGAGTGTCTTTTTTTTTTGACAAGATTGCACCAACACTCCGCCCCTGGAGATCCAATTCGTCGTATGTCCTCGTCGCTCCCCCTCTGAGCCCTTCGTTCCCTTACCTCCTGTCGTTGGCCCAGCTACTTCTGGGCTGTAGCATGGGGCAGGGGGCAAAGTGGCGTGGCTAGGCTTTGCCGTGTCTTCCTGCTTGTTCGGCTTGCAGGAGAACTAGGTACTGCTGAGGTTGCGGTAGCTTTGGGATTGGATTGGGGTCATACGCTATCCAGAATGGCTATAAGGGCTAATCCCCTGATCTTTCGAAACTATGAATGAAACTGACACGTTGTGCCATCTGCAGGTGCCTACGCGCTCAGGGTTTCTGTGGTCTGGAGCGGTACACGGATCCTGAATTACACTGCGCAAGCAGGCATTGTTGCAAGAACGACCTCTTTCCAGCTGTGCTTGCAACTCCGAAAAGCTATGTGAAGCGTGCATGCAAAGACCCCCAAAAGCCTTGTGTTCATGCTGCATCGCGTGATGGCTACGGCTACAGAAGTGGCATCTGATCTGCACGACAAGACTTCCTGAAAACTCGCAGCCGAGGCGCAAAGCAAAGGCCGACGGAAAGCCATTTTGGAGTAGTGTAGGCGCAGCAGTCTTATGACGCTGAACTCGAGCAACTGGAAGCCGGCTACGGCAGTGGCGCATGCAGTGCGATCGTCTTCTGGCAGCAATCTCCGTACTCTACATGCCGATGCCGGCCAAGAGAGAACTTGAATAGCACACTTATGGGCAGGAAACCTACGTGCGCTATTCAGTCGCAAGCCCACAAACACCCCTAAACATGCACAGGAAAAGTGCTCTATAAGGAGATACCATCAAAACAAACGTCCAGAACAAGCTCGAGCTCGGAGACGTCGTGGTATGCGCAACGGATGAATTAGCAACACAGCTCGAAGCCCAGGACCCCTGACACCTTGGATGTGTAGCGTCGCGTCCTTTTGCATTTGTGCCGTTGTATTGAGGTACACGTGCGAAAAAACAAAGGCAGATTGGGCAACCGTGGAAGCTCACAGTTTCATGGCACGGCCGGCACCTCCGACACACCATGACACACTTTTCTCCAACGCGAAACACGGGGCAATCCATTCATGCCCGCAACTGTCTCATCTTCGGTCAGGACCTTCAGGGCTGGCACGGGCGTGCTTTACTGTGTTTTCACACCTAACCTGCATGTGCCAGTGCCAGAGAACTGGCAGGTTTCTGGGATCATCATCATCATCGTCATCATCATCTCATTTTCGTCGTCGTCATCACCACCTCTGGTCACCACAGTGATCATCATCAACTGAAGCCTAAAGCCCGCCGACCTTTGTGACATGCTGCGGATGTTCTAGGCGCCGATGGGACGCACCCTGGCACCACGACCGCGGCCACCGCGGCCGCGTGGGCGCGGCGCTTCGGCCTGGCAGCTTGCGGTTGGAAAGGCAGGTTGAGTCACGGACCGTCAATCCATATCACTGGTCACTCCAGCCTTCGTCTGATCCTGCGCCCTCTCACGAGACTTCGACGTGCACGGATTCGGACGGAAGCCTAGGCTTCGTGTGCCACAGGGACGCAAGTGCAGGCTTGCTCGAATGCTCCTTCGGCAGAGTGCAAGGTCACGAAAATGAGGGGGGCAGCGGGTTTGCGGAACTGTGGCCGGCAACAGCATTTTTACTCTAGAAGTTGCCGAATCCAGGCAGCTCGATGGACGGTTTGCCTGCTCCAGTTCCTGCATATGGGCTTCTGGACTATGGTGACTCTTCAAGTTCGCCACAGCTTCATCTCTCCAAGCGCTGTCTGCGAGACTCTGCTAGGGAGCACTCGCTTCTGGCAGATGGAAAGCTGTAATCTGCCTAGGGAAACTGCCCACGCTTGCAATCTCAGGAATTCGCAGACCCACGCACATGCCTCGAAGGACTGTGAGATCATGAACTGCTCACGGTCCATCTCCTGGCAGGCGCCAAGAGCTAGGAACTCAGGGACTCATCACCTAGACTAGACCTAAACTGGACCTAAACTTCGCGAAGGCAGAGAAACATCTTCCCAATCGTCTCTACGCGCTCTCTGTCGTCAGCTGTCCCTGTAAACGAGGAAGTACTCGTTGTGGCTATCCAGAAGCAGCACGGCATCTTCCAGGGAACTTTGCTGGCCACAAAGCTCCAAGCCCGACTCGGTCCAGGTGGCGGCTGCAAGTCCCGCCTGTCGTGGTAACCAGCTTGACGCCAACATGAGACACCATGGACCATGCTCACTCAAATATGACAGAACCAGGATCAGCAAAAGCAGCTACGCTGGCTGCTGCGTTCTGTGGAGGAGGGGCCTGAATGGCCTCTAGGACTCTAGAATTACCATCACGATATGAAAAAGAACGGTTCTTCCATCATCCCACCTTTCGCGTGACGTCCTGGATCAATCGGTTGTCGCTCCGCTGGAACCACGTTATACGTTCAGCCTTCGCAAGGGCAGCGGGGGGCTCTTGAAACACCCATGTTGCCAGAGTTGGAGAGCTACTAAGCCGCGGATGTGTAACTATGTGTCACTGCTGTCCACTATCGTCCTCGCGAAGGCCAGCAGCTTGCAAATAGGTGCTGGCAGGCAAGTTCACCAGACTGTCTAAACGTCAAACGGTCTTCCGGAGTCCTTCGTGTCCACTTGCTGTTGCCAAATTGCAAGTTCAGCGGCCAGTGACACTTTCCAGTACGAGTCGGGAGCAAAAGCAAGACAGACAGAGAAACGGAGAGACAGAGAGAGAGCAAGCGAACGCGGATCGCTGCGGTCCTCTTAACTCCACTCCACGTGTGTGAGCATGAAGATATGTGGACATGCCACTTGCAGTTGCACTTTTTCAACACTGTCCTGTCCTATGCGTGCTAGCTGCTAGCTCCTCCACCGCAAGCTCAAAATCCGTGTTGCAAACCCTCCACTCCACTCGGGGATACATCTGTACTTGGAATTCCGGACCCGTACTTCGCTGCTCCCCGAAGTACCTTCGCATAGTACACTCGAAGGCAGTGCTGGTCGTACAATGTATTATTGTAAGCAACCAGTCGTACTGTACAACCGCCTCGGCTAACGAAGCTGGGAGGTCTGCTTGGATTCGATGTATTTGATGCACCCCCTCTTGATAAAGGTGAGGCTTACTAAAGCAATCCCAACATTACCTGGCTACTTGTAGCATGCTTTGAAACTGCCACTTGCTTATAAATGCTTCTTGCAACCGTGCTTCCGGGAGGGGATAGAGTTGCTTACGCAGTTCGAGCTCTCTCCGAGCACCCTCTGCATCGGCGTCGCTGTCGCAATAGATCCTAAGAGGGAAGGAACAGTTGCCGACTTGGAGAGGGAAAGTGCCGTGCTGCTGAGATTCAGGATCTTCCGCGGTTCTGACGGATCGGCATCCTTCATTGACACGACAGCCAAGGGCGACAGGCTGTTCACTCTCGGCAAAAGTTTGCTCACTAGCAGCCGGTGACCTTTGGAAACCCCTCGCGGAGCTGGCCCTGAATTCTCTTGGCTGGCTGTCCTGAGGGGTCTCTTGAATCCGAACCTCGACGTTGAACTCCTGGGAGACGTAACGTCCAAAGCAAGTCGAATTCTCAGATTGTGCCGTTCGTCATCAGCGAGTCACAACTCCATGTCGCAATGTCTGCGCTGGCTCCTTTTCCACCTTCTTCACACGCTCCCCACCCTTTCCACAGGTGCGGCCGATAAGATCCGCATCCACCTAGCACAGTCTAAACAGCAACAATCAAAACACCAAAAGCGCATCAAACGAAACTCTCTGTCTATCTGTCCATACATACATGTACATGTACATGTACATGTACACACACACAGATGTATATACATATATATATGTGTGTGTGTATATATATATGTGATATATCGCTCTTTTCGCTCTTTTTGGGGCGTAGAATCCATGCTCGGTTGCAGCCCACATCTTGCAGACTCGCAAACGAATTAAAGAAAAGCGGAACAAATTTGGCCGCCACTCAAACTCGACTTGCCGTAGGCTAGTCAGGCTCCCAAGCATGGTGCGTTCAAGGAGGGGGAGTGAGTGTATCGGTTGAGGAATAGCATTGGGCCGGTCAGGAAAGAGAAGGAGAGCAGGCACCCCCCGCTTGCCAAAGTCGTCAGGCTAGCTGGCTGAGGCCCCCGGCAAAAACATGCAAAAACGGCCTCCTCCAGGTGGTTCTGGGTTCTTTTCTGGCGGACGGTGGACGCGGACAATCCAGCCAACCGGAAAGGCCTTCGACTGAAAGGAGGAAGACAACATCATCATAACGTCATAAGGACCACCAAGAAAGCAGGGCGTCCTACCCTTTCGAATGTCTGCCAGGCATTCCTGCAGCGTGTAGACAATGGTGAAAGTTACAAGGTCCCCAAACGAGATCCAGTGGGCCGGGTGGACACAAATGACTGTGCGATCGCTGACGGAGGGTGTGGCCGAAGCACAGATCGAATCGGTCTCAAGAAAGGAGAGAACGATCGAGGCATCTCGGAAAGTTGCAACCTGCTACGGGCGAGGCTTCTGGACTGGAACTATAACCAAACGGACCAAACGGCAAGGTCAGCCGTCAGAATCCATTCGGCAATGTGGAGCAAAAGGTCCCTCTAAACCGCAAGCTCTTCAGTCTCCCCAGTGTCGGGCCGTGTTCCTGATGCGTACGGGCAAGCGAACAAAGGAAAAACTCCATTATTTCCAGGCTTCACTGGAGGTGCAGTGTCCCGGATTCAGACCAAACGGCAACAACTGGAGACACTCAACAACTTCAACCGAAGGTCGTTCCAGGTAGTTTTGCCACTCGCCAACCGGAAAGGGCAACAATGGCCCTTGGGTGCCTGCTGCTTACTTGCGTCGTCAGCACTCCTACTACCCTGTCCTGGGGCGACGGCGCAGCCGAAGCTCGCCTCGAGAAGGTATCGTCTGCAGTTCGCAGCATGCTGCTTCACATGGGAAGTGAAATGCTTGAGGCATGGCTGACACTGGCAGCCACGTTGGGCTTGCCTGCACTCCGTTGTTCGTCCACGGGTTTTAAAAGCGTGCATTGACCAAGCCCGATATGACTTGAAGATCAGGCCGCACCGAGCACAAAAATGCGCGGTCGGAGATGGCTCGACAAGGTGGTCTGGTAGATCAGCTCCAGCGCACTTGAGCTGACTATACACAAGTCCAGCATCGTAACGACACGCTATCTCCCAACACTCTTGTCCGAGAGCTTGGCTCTGAGCACGTCGCACAATGCTTTTCCACCATGTAGGGTGCTCCTGGCAGGTGACGGCCCAGACATCCCAGGCCTGTTCCCAACACCCAAACGAGGCCCCTCCGTCTACATGGGACCATCTCTGGAGAACACGAGTGCGGATACCGCAGAGGAGATGCCTGAGTCGGGCCACGTGGAGGAGGGTGGCTATTGACGGAAGGCCAAGGATGGCCAATGCTCTGACACCCCGCCTGTGCATGGCTTCCTCAGGTGGGCGATCTGGCCTGAGCATGAAGAACGCCATCCCATGGTAAGCCAAAAACACCTTGTTCTTGCAGGTGGAATATGCTTTCCAGGCCAGGCCCGATCGGTGACGCAGTTCTCGAACCAGCGAGGCAGCGAGGCATCATGGTGTATGAAGCCCCCTGGTAGGCTTAGGTTGGCCCCAGTCGAATGGCGGCGTCCTGCCAAAGTCTGCGTGGAATGGCAATTGCCGGCTCGGCAGAAGCGAAGACCTTTCTTCCAGAGGGGGGGTTTGCCCCCGCCTTCGGTGATCGAGCCGCAGGCCAGATTTGCCAGGACTGCCCACGCTGCCAAGGCCACTGTTCTTCTTTGCTGGCCCATGTGCCGCCTCGGCCCATATCAAGTGTTTTACAGCTTATGCCATGTAGCTTCCGGAAGGAATCTAACAAAGAAGCCGACGAGGAATGATGTGCAACCAGTCTGGTAAGGTCCACTCGCCGAGCCTTGAGGCCTTGGTCTTTGGCCACTCGGAGCCTCCTGCGGGCTCTGGAGCGCAGCTTCCTTGCTGCACGATGCCAGGGAGGCGAAGAGCTACAGCAAGGCACAGCTGCCTGGCAGGTCGTGCGTCAAAGCCCACGGGCACAACAATGTTCCTGGCAGGCGATTTGAGCCCAGTGTGTGTGTGTGTGTATATATATGTATGTATATACGGTGGGTATGCAAATTTCGGAACCTGGTGTTGCACATTGTTGCACCATCCAGCGAAATGTTCAAAAGCACACACAAGCTCAGCATCCACATTGCTTCGGAGAAACCTTGCCTCAAAGGACAGGCGGGCGTCTTCACCTAGACCTTTCGCTTCGAGCTCCTCGGTGAGTTTCGGGCATAGGCTGCGATTTCCGGCTTGATTGTATTCGCGATTTCGTGCTCCGGTAACCCCACGCCCGCGCTGCAGTGCCTTCAACTGCGCCAGCTTCTTTGCACGTCGTCGATGGAAGGCCTCCACCTCAGCCTGGCGAGCACGGGGATCATGCTCCTGCAGGACTGCTGCCGAAGGCCGCTTGCCTGGTGCATGAGGTGGATCTTCAACACCATGGAAGCCTCTGATCCGACTTCGAAGCTTGGAGCCGATTCGACCCGACCCGAATTTGCAGCGAGCTCCCTCCACGCACCCTTCAACGAAACTGGTCGGAGAAGCTCTGGCGATGGCGGCTTCTCCGCCGATTAGAATGACGGCGTCCAGCTCCTGCACTGCGTAACATCGCTTTGCTGACGTACAATCCCGACCTTTGGGAGAGCCTTTGTAAGCAGCCTGCGGACTTCTGAGAATAGGTGTGACAACCCTCCAAGCCCCTCCAACCCCGTGCTCCGACCACACACAGCTGCACAGGCCAAGCTACACTCTACAAACAGAGACAGGGCAGGACAAGACAGGACACAGGACAAGGAGGGAGAGCGAGGGAGAGAGAGAGAGAGAGAGAGAGAGAGAGAGAGGGGGACGGGAAGGGATGGAGGGAGGGAGAAGGAGAAGGAGAAGGAGAAAGTGAAGGTGAAGGTGAGTGAGCGCGAGGGAGTGAGTGAGTGAGTGACTGAGTGAAGGTGTGGGTGGGTGGGTGGACAAGAGAGGGAGGGCGGGAGGGAGGGAGGGACAAAAAGCGAGCACAGCCTGTCACGAACGTGACTATGATCTCGTAGGTCAGGCATCCTGCACCACGACTCCATTTCCGCCGCGAGGATGCTCTACTCCTGGAGTGGCCAAATGCAGACCTTCGGGAAAGGCTGCATGGCTGTAGTCGTTGCAAGCAAAGGCAGCAAAGGAACGGAGCAGCAGCCAGAGCAGCCTCGCTATTCTACGTTGTTGCAGAAACTCTGCAGCACTTGCCTGAACCTTCGTGCAGCTTCCAAGGGCTGCTTTTTGACATGCTCACTGCTTAGTGGCTTGAGAAGCAGCAAGTGTGGTTCACATCATTCGATGCCTGGGATAAGGAGCTGCAGACATGAGAGTGGTGCGCGGGGCCTTGACCGTGCCAGACCCAGGGTCCCATGCTGTGTTTGGGCACGCTGGAACAGCCTACACGACACTCTCAATATGTCCCGGGCCTGTCGTAGATCGCACCTGCTCCAGGCATCCTCTTGCATCTGGTAGGCTCAGCCAGCCGTGTAGTTCCTGCGGTGTCTGTCCAAAGAACTCCTTTTCAAAGCTCGTCCGGCCTTTGGCACTGCGTAGGACATGCTCCGCAATGTCTCCTTACCAACAGGCACGGCAGCCCTCGTGAAGGCCAGGGGGTTCAGCGGCACCTGCCTGATCAGAAAATCGTGGCGGTGGAAGTGCACATATACAGTCACGAACACATGGGGAGAGACGTGGCAGGGGCATGGAAAACAGAAACAGCAACAGCTGCAGTGGTGGTCGCATCATCGAGCGCAGCTACAGTAGAGATGCAGCACTAGCGCACACTCACTAACCACACGAAGCCTTGTGCTGGAACGCGATCTTGTGACGAATGCATATATGTGTCAGACCATCCATCTGGTAAACCTCTACTAGTACCTATTTTTTTGTCTGCCTATCTGTCCCTCTGTCTGTGTATCTAGCACATGCAGTTGACTGTCGTGATCTCACTGGCAGCGCTGGCAACCGAGTTGGCAGATTCACACAAAAAATGAAAAAAAACCAAGTGCGACGCTAATAGAGACTGGTGGTCATGCAGGGAACAGAAGTGACACATGGAGCCGCCCTTCGCATCATACTCAGCAGCACGGGCTCGTGAATGTCTGGTTCAGGCCGTGCGGCTGGCTGGGTGCCCGTACAGCGTCCAAAGCCACGGCCACCTCCCGACCCTCCACGATCACGAAAATCCGGCCCTCCTCTCAGGCCAGTCGGTACTTCGACATGAAATGAATGTGTGTCTTCTCCAAGCGGACAGCCCATGCACTTCCGGAGCTTACTGCGGATCAGACCCACGGAGACCCACTGCAACCTGGCACTGTCCTGCTCGCAAGCATTGTGCGAGATGGAGCCTGCAGACCAGTGTGCTGGGCCATCCTCTGTTGCCGGAAATCGCCTCAGCACAGCATCTTATATCTCTGCCAGACAATAACAAGTTATAACAAGGCCCAAGGCGTCCCAGAGCCCCTCTGTTTACAGTTGTCTTCGGCCCCTTTCCAAGGGCTTGGATGCATCACAGCTGCACTTCGACCTCGGCCCCGGCAATGAGCTGCGGAGGCGAGTCGACGGGAAAGACCCTGGCCCTTGCAGTGGAAAGCGTATCACACGAGGTTCTCCGCAGAATCTTGTTTAAGGTCCGGGGTCTGCTTTTGGGGTGCCATGAAAAGCTCCGGAGCCTTTGCCGAAACTCCGATGGATCTTCGATCTATATTGAACATGTGGACAGTGTCAGAAGAAGTAAGCTAACGTGATGAACAACTTACTAGTGGCCATGGGGTGGGACGGAATGACACCGTACAGCCTTTTCCTGCGAGTGCACGTAACAGTTCAGAAGGCAAGAATGTCATGCTCCAAGAGGGTGTAGATACATTCTGATAGGACGCTGGTCCCCATGTGCTACTGTAATCAATGCAACTACAGGGCGTGGAGTTGAACATGTTGACTTCCCTACGCGCTACCGGACTCTGAGGTTAGTCGAAGCCCGCCCAAACAGTACCCAAAAGACTTCAGATGAGTGCCAAGTGATCACTAAATGCTGGGTCAGTGGCCGGACATGTTGGCAGGAGAGCTCGCGACTGGGCCAAATACCCCGGTCGAAGGCCACCCAAACCTGCGCAGTGGCTTCGGGCATCTAGCTGAGGTTTCAATCATACGCTACCTTGATGTTTCCAGCACTGTACTCTTCTGCGCATATATATATATATATCTATATATATATATATCTATCTCTCTCTCTCTCTCTCTCTCTCTGTACATACATACATACATGCATACATGCGTTCATACATGCATACATACGTACATACACGCATGCACAAAGAGACAGACAGACGGACAGACAGACAGACGGAGCATTGTGAATCACAAGCTATGCGCTACAGACTTGCTCAGAATCGCTCGGCCACACTAGACCGGCTGGTTTCCGGAGCAGCTTCCTCTGATTTATAAATCCCTCGGTATACTTAACTACTACTTGCAATGTAGCTGCAAACTACTGTACTACTTGCTAATTGCTTAGTAATAAACATTGATTCTTCAACGATTATTCACTAATGACTAAATTACTTGCTAGTGAAAATGAACAAGTAATACTTCAAAATACTGCTTAATTACTACTTCGTTCTACCGTAGTACTACCTCACCACTACCGCTACTACTCCTACTATACTACTACTACTACTACTACTACTCCTGCTGCTGCTGCTGCTACTACTACTACTACCACCACTACTAAGCCAGCACCAATTCTCTTTACATGTCCGCGATTGTGGATTGTTTGTGTGCTGCTGCCTCCCCCGGCCCCCCCCCCCCACCCCCCAGATCAATCCCGAGGCCCGGTGCTTCTAGAAGGGGGGCCCCCCCGACTAATCAAGAGCACGGATTACGCACCACGATCCTTACAAGCGTACTGCAATGCAGTGTCTTTGCCTATCGGCACTGAGCCCACTGATCCGCACTTATCCGAAAGCTGGCGTCGTGCTACCATTTAGTCATCTGCACAAGGGCCTTGTCCAGTTGCAAGTCTCGCAAGATGGCTTCGTACCACGTGGCAGCGCCTGCCCTCTGTCGCACCTCGAACCCAGGGCCCTGAGCCCTTCTTGGCATTGAAGCCCTGAGGTATACACCGTATCGGACAGTGATCTGCCAAGCTGCTTCCACGAAGGCAAGGTTTCGAGGTACGACGCCCGGGGTCATCAGCCAGAGAGCAAGAAATCAGGAATAATCAGGATCTGCGTGACAGCGTGTAGGCAAACGTCGAGTCATGGCAAAGCTGCGGGCGATGCTGGGCTACGTCGAGTCCTGTGCTATTGAAGCATTTATGCGTTGAGTCATGCTTCTCAACCGCTCCTTTCCGTGGCGAGCTCGCGTACAAGATACAGAATACACGGCGACTGCCTTGGAAGGCTAAGCAAGACTGTGGCAGCGAAAACAAATTTCAAACAAACAAGTTCCACATGTTCCTTCCACATGTCATGTGCCAAGACCTGATAAGTGGCTGCGACTCAAGCCCACGAGGCTGCAAAAGACAAGCAGAGCCAAACAGGGGGACGACACGAAACAGCACTACATAGCCAGATCGTCTGTAGTGTGACGTGACCGGCACGGCTGGAGAGCGACTCCACGAAGCTGCCGCGGGACTGTTGCAGCACTCTGATCGAGACTTCAAAGGCTGTAAACACAGACACTGTCTCCCAGGCGCGAGACTTAAGAGGTACTGTAAGCGGGCCTGAAACCGCCAAGGGCACATGATTGTACAGTTGTGCAGTGCTTCAAACTTCGAAGGATGATGCCGTGTGAACAGCAACCTGCCCATGGCTCAAGATAATGACCCTCTACGACCAATTCTGAAAAATTGAGCTTAGCAGCACGCTCAATTGAGGCTCGGTATGCTCTGGTTGGCAACCCAGCGAAAAGACGATCCCACAAGCGTGGCAGCAATACACCCGTCATTTCTTGTGGCTCAGGTCAGGTTCTTTTCATATGTTGAGCACAGGATTGTCAATCCGAGCTACTTGCCGTGGCCTTCCGTGTTGCACTTCTCCGTGCTTTCGTTCCGGGGCAGAGAAACGGAGCGGGGGCCAAGCCGTGAGAAACCAAGGCAGCGGGCACCCCCGCTGGCCTCCGGGTCATCGGGCTTCTGCCTAGCAGGATAACAGCTGTCAGCTGTGGCGGGTGACGACAAGCTGCTACCTGCCCGCCTTAGGCTAGCAGCGTGCTGCCAACATGTTTAACTCCTCAAGCAGCTTCCCAGTCCACTGCTCCGACGAGATAACCATCAAGTGCATAAGATCTAAGAGGAACTCGCAGTCCCAGCGATCTGAGCTCCAGACTCGGCACCTTGGGCCTCAGAAGACGAGCAAAGCATCGTTTGGCAGATTTCGAGTGCCTGCCTTCCCGACCTCAACTCCTACACTGCACACGTATAATACCACAGTTGCACTTCTAACTGCGACCAGACCGAAGCCAGTCTTGGCTTACCGTCATCTGCCCGCAAACTAGCGTCACATTTCATCTTGATTTGCACAAAAGAGAACCTTGATGCGTTGTCCAAAACGACCTTTATTTTCTCAAATCCTTGTGTGCTACTCTGGTGCAGTATGATGTCTTCGAAACAGCAACAATTAGGCAAATTTACAACATCAGCTCGACTGCCGCTTGCCAGCGTGAGGACCAAAGCAGTGTGTGCGGGCTGGTCCTTGCAAGCAGCCCATCCCTGTCCTGCTGAGCCACCCACGTAAGTCTGCGGCGTCTGAGCTTTCAACAGGCTGAGAGAGGTGTAAGTCTCCTGCGATGGTGGGAAGATGTCGGAGGGGTTTGCGAGTCGATCATGTCTGTGAGCCGGCAGCAGAACACACAGCCCAACAACGAATGCAAGCCGTTCACCATGACTGCTCGGAGCTTCTGCTTGTTATGACCTTCAGAGATTGCGGTCCTTGGTGACTTTTTCCGTCTCGGCGATGACCTTTCGACTGCAACTCAGAACGAGGCTTAACCGTGCCCTAAAGCATTTCAAGCAAAGACTTGTAGCAATGACTGCTGCGGCACTAGTTGGAAGCTTCAAGGTGGCCCTAGGCCCTAGTCATCACGACATGTCCGAAGCAGTTTGGCCTTCTGAATTTCCTGCTCCACCGCGAGTTTGTGACTCTCAGCTGCGGCCTTCATTCAAAGCTGCAGCAGGCGCATGCTTCTGGGACACTTTGACGCACAAGCCATCATGCGAAGCTAGTCTGCAACAGGTCTTCGTTTCAGGTCAACCATTTCTCGAAAAACTGGTGTGGTGTCCAAAGTGTCAGTGCTGGTATATAAGGTAGCTGACCTTGACAAATGATGATGGCGCTCGCACGAACAGCAAGCGCCACCGAAATGGGGCTGACATTTGCCGCCACGATGTCAAGACGGATGAACGCTGCCGACACTGCTGAGTTACAAACCCCAAGATCATGATCGGCACGAAACAACTGCAGGAGATACTACTGTACATGCTGAGGTTGATGTGGTGGTGCTGCTGATCTGTTACCACGACGATCATCAGTTCACTAGGAGTAACATCAAGGAGAACAAAATGGTTGACAGGGGTTGCACTACTACCGAAGGACAAGCAGGTCAATTTTGGGAAGCTACAGCAAAGCCCAGGAGACCGATCCCGGAAGTCCGAAGACGTTTCTGTCGCGTTGACAACAGAGAAGCGAACAATATGCACAAGTCGTGCGCAATGGTTTGTTTCACCTGCCGAACTTCTCAGTGTTAGGCTGGGTGGAGATTTTGTTTTGCTTTTTTTTGTTTTTT